GTAAATAAAAAGGGCGACCTGGAGCCAATCCTGCAATTTCCCCACAGGTGAAAGAGTTGAAAACCCAACCCCTGCAGGGGGGTCTGGGGAAATTCTCCCCCAGGAGATTTTTTGAAATACTAACATCAAATACACATTCTGGTGCTCTCTTAAGAAGAAAAATAAATAAATATATATTACTACACGACATATTTAAAAAAAATGAATGCCATTTTAGTTTTTTGTTACTTTGTCCTGAAAGCTGAACCTGCTGCTCCTCACAGAGAGAAGAGGGAAGAGGCTGTGTGAATGACTTTACATTGTGGATAAGGGTGGATAGCCCCCATTGTTCTGTGTGTCAAAATGAAAGACAGCCCACACACCTATCAATCATCAAACCGTGGGGTCTTATTTGTACCGATGTATATAGAGATGTACTACAGCAAAAGTATTCTCCGTCGGGACTTCCTGCAACAACACCACGCCGTTATCGTGATTCTGATTGGCAAGAAGATATTATCAAAGATGTTCTATTGAGAAGACGATCACTACGTGACAAAAGTTTTCAAAACCGTTTCTAGTCTTCGGTATTTCCAGACAAGTGGCTACTGAAATCAATCTTACTAACTGCTGTCTGTGCAATTTACTCCGCGAGTTGGCAGACTTTATTTTGTTTACTTTAACATCATTGTTCATGGTGGGGCTAAGCCATTTATTGGTATGGCTGTAGCCTACCCCAGCCATACCCTGACCGCAAATACCTCATTCCTTCTGTCTACTTGTATCCGAAATGCTTCTCGTTTTGCGCTGTCCTCCCGTTCAAATGAAATCGTCGCCAATCAGATTTCCAAGCTCGCGCCAGGGGGGGGGAGGGGTTACAAGGCTCGCGTCTTGTGCTGCATTCACTTGCACTCGGACATTAGAGATTTTCTCTCATAAATGTCCGATGAGCCACAACTTTTCTTTCAAAACAAAGCTGCCAAATGGGGTGGCAGCTGGGGTGGCAAGGCATTTTTCTGAGGTGGCAGCTGCCACCCCGTGCCACCCCTTAGAACCGCCACTGCCCTGCACCATCTTCTGTAGTGTTTCATCAGCAGCTCACTGTCTTTCAGAGGAAATATTTGTCCTACTTATTTTTGTCTTTTGCCATACTCTCCTCTGTATGAGAAAATCTTGCACCTCATTAAAGTCCTTCTCTAAGACTTTTCTTAGGAGCTACCCTTTGTAGTTTTATGAATATGGTCCCAGGAGTGTTACGGTACTTATCTGTTGACAGGTGTTCAAATGATCTAATCTAAAAAAAATAAACAGGGTCAATGCTCTGTCATATCAGATTATGTATTGTAAACAATGCATTTCAATGCGAAAGCCCCTAACTAGCGGAGACTAGTTTTTGTTTATTAGGTACAAAGTGTGCAGCATCCAAACGTGTGAACACACTATCACTTGCTGCAGTACTCAGCAGGTTATGGTGGTTTCAGCCTTTTGCGTTCAGCTGTCTGCCTTCAATGCTATGTTTCATTAAATTCCAATGACAAAATATGGCATAGAAGAATACAAAATCAACAATGCAGGTAATTGCATGGCTTCAAATGGCCTAAAATGGTCCATTCTCTGTGATATGTTTGAGTTTAAGGGATACTGGCCTTTAACATGAGACAATATTTTTTCTTTGTAACTCAGCATTCACTCTGCGTAATTGTAATGTTAGAAACAAAATCAAATAAACTGCAAAAGCCTAGGGTACATTTTTATTTTAGCGTTAACTTTAGTTAATGTTAGCAAACTCAAAAGTTCAGGTTATGTTCTGCTTAATGTGCAAAGAGCATATGTTCTCATAAACTAAACACTTGTCCGGGCTCCGGTGGAGCAGTGGCATCATGTGATTAAGACATGCAAACAAAGCATACACTTGAGATACTGTCTCCCTTGAAAAAGAGATTGATAATCTCAATAGGACTACCTGGTTAAATAAAGGTTTAAAAAAAAGAACTGCAGTCGTACATAATGAATATACCGGAAGCCTTAAAAGACACTGTTCAGTCTCAAAGACACACTGGTGTCATTTAGAGAGGTGCAGTTAACAGTTGTTGGTGATGTAGCGGACAGACCACAATGAGCTCACTCCAAGGTCACAACTTCTGAGGGAATAAAAAAAATCAATATCTGGTTTCTGGATATGTGCCACTGCTTGCAACTCTGCTGTTTGTGAACCTCACAAAGGTCTGTTGGCATTGCAGTATAGTAAAATATATAATTTGTATACATCTATAGTCACCATGAAAAAAGACTAAAAATACCCATTTACGCAAAACACAAAATCTTAAGATACAACATTTTATTATTGTCAGTCTTAAATATGAGCACACACTTTTCATCAAGAAAATAAATATGAACCAACAATCCTTTACAATGCAGGAAGTCAAAGATCAAGAGGTCCTCTTCCACTCCGGAACATTACATGTGAGGACAGCCCGTGAACTTGTAACCAGTCAAAGGGCAGAATTGTATTTTTGTGAATTATTCAGAAGATCATGAGACTACTTAAAACGTCTGCTATGATAATCCCCTGACAGCTGAAGCTGAGGTTTGATCCCTCATGTCTCACCAAAGTCCACATCCAAAAACAATCTCTTCTAGACTCCAATGCAAATCACGCACATGTCACAAAACATCTAAAATGAAAATGACTTATTTGTATCTGGTGAGTGCAGTACAATCTCAGTTATTTCTCTTGAATGTTATAAAGTATTGTTCAGTGTTCTGCTTTTCAAACTATTTTCTTGCTTTGCACATATGGAGACAAAGAAAAATAAAATACCAACAGCTTTTTTACCCAACTTCCTTGTCTCAATTGGGTTCATGTTCGCTTGCTGAGAGGGAGAGTGCTACAAAACCTTATGCAGACTTCAAACAGACATCATAAATAGGTCATACCACCTTACATCTTTGGTGCTACTGCAAAATGATAAGCCTTCATCTTCATGGGACGTGATTAAGAGTAGCCTGATGGGATTCAGACAGAAAAAGTGAAAGGTGTGTGTAGTCAGGTCTTTTCAGTCCTGTGTCATAGCTAATATGTAGAGGTGGATCAGAAATATTACTAGGGTTCTTACAAGATCCTCTCTTGAAATGACACTTGCATTGTGTCTTGTATATCCTGTTTTTAAAGTCATGCTTGGTAGAAGTTAGGGGATTTTTCGTCATGCAGAATGCCACTGCAGTATAACTGCCTCTAATTCGCCTGAGAGACGGTAAATGATCCCCAAACTAAGGGACTTTATCCTGATGTTCAAGGTAAATGGTCGTTGGATCAGTGATCGCAAATCCACAAGAACACCTTCAAGATAATTTGCACGCTTAATATATGGACTTGTCAGGGAGTCATTTGGGGGCTATGGTGGCCAATTAGAGCACAAGAAATGAGAAAAACCATGGTGGTGAGACTGCCTGTATCATCAGGGAGTGATCTTCTAACCCCGACTCTGTCGCCGGTCAGTCAATCCACGACGACTTTAAGACTTTTGATTACACTAAAGAAAGTTGTAGTTAGCAGAACAGAGATTTGACGACTGAGAGTGTGGACTTTACACTGGAGGATGAGCTCAGTTAACAACAGGACCATTTGAAGGCCAACCGAGAGCTTATTAGAGTTTTTGCAACTAAATGAGCCATAACATGACAAATAGCCAAGTTGTGCACACAACATCACACTGTCTGTTCATTAAATGTAATGTGATTGTTTATTTAACTGCTCTTCAAGCCAGGTTGTCTAACCTTGAGGCTACCAGTATAATGCGTAAACAACATTGGCACTAAGTAAAACAAACGCCTCAGGTCAGAAACTATCCAAATGAAGCCTTTAAAGGAGCCGCCTGCATAGGTTTTCTCCACATGCCTTCTCTTGTTACACGTTTGGAACAGCAGGGATTTGAGAGCAGGCAAATAAAGATGATACTTTTCTGGTAGCAGCACGTGGCTCAGACCAGGGCCAAAACTTTAGGAATATGATCTGACAGGATTTCCAGCAGTGATCTGACAGCTGCTGACTTTCTTCCATCTCCTCTGAAAACGCGGAAGATATCTCGTCCTCAGATCACAGAGCCTGCTCTCTGCCTCCATGTTGCTTCTTCAGCTCACTGCTTCACAGTGTACAACACTTTATCCGTGACTGTAGATCTCATCAGAGCTAATAAACAATATGCTTGTTCGATATTACGGATTAGCAGGGTTCCTCTTAATGATCGTGTAAAGTCAGAATATGAATGTGCACAGTTTTGGTTTGCAGTCAGTGATGCTCATTACAGCCTCGGCTCTGGATCTCTGCCACAGAAACCATATGGCTCTGCTATTATTAGGTGGATTATAAGGTGAAGTCAGCCGTACAGACACCACCTTACTTCTGGTTAGGTGCACATTCATCTCCTCTAGAGAAACATGTTATATTTTGACAGTAGCCCTGATAGTTTGCACAGATCTGTTTATGTTCTAAATGTTTCTCTTACTTCGGTTTGTCCTCAGAAACAGTGTGCTTGACCCAAACATGTTACTGCAATTGAAATGACATGTCAAATATGTATCACACATACTAAGGACAAAGCAATAAGCTGCAAACATTGTGTCTGTGTCATGTCCTCTCTCACTCACTCTCACTCACACACACACACACACACACACACACACACACACACACACACACACACACACACACACACACACACACCACCATGACCAGATCTCATTAAGGTGAATTGCAGTGTTGTTATTTAGATGCTAAGAGGTAGTTAATAAATTAAAATGACCAGTTTTTAAGACGTATGCTAGGCTGTACTAAATAATAATGAAAGCCGAAATAAACATGCCACCAGGGTCTGTGGCATGGGTGTGTGATGGAGTAAGAGTCATTGTGTGTGCGTGCGTGTGTTTTTGTTTTAAGTTATTAAGCAAATTATTATATTTTCAGCACATTTGGCTCCTTTTCAACTTTAAACGTGAATTAAAAGTGATGATGCTGTGATTGTGAGTCATGAATTCCATGCAAACTGTTTCTGAAGGCATCCCGACACACCTCCTTGTGAGGCGGTCTGACGCCACACTGAAAAGACTGAAACGATGACTTTAACTAATGCATTATGTCAACAAATGACACATAATTGTATTGGGTTGTGTAAAAGCAATAATATTAAGTTTAAATACAAAATGTTAGGTTCAACTTCATATTATTGCTTTCAACTAACCTAATACAGTTATGTGTAATTTGTCAATGTTTTCAGTCTTTTCGGTGCAGTTTGTCTTAAATGTGGTTAATATTGGGGAAAATAAATCTGACATCAGCGATGCCCAGATGGAATGATGAGCATATCATTTCCAAACATCTCTCTGCTGGAGACAATAGTATGCACTGTTTCTGTCTCCCTATTATTGTCTTGTATGTGAAAAAAAACGTGATGAACCTGTCAGATTCAGCAGATGATCACCTTGATCAGATTCAGTAACGACCCTGCTTCATGCCTTTTTCATTTGGATGTTGGCTGGTTTCAAAACAAGCAAACAAAGCGTGCCGTCCCCAGCAGTCCGTTTAAAGGACATCAGAGGGGCGCACCGGAGCTGAGGGAATCCAGGGGAAACCGGAGGGAAAAGTAAATGTTTCAATCCCTCTCTCCTCCGTTTGAGTCTGCTCAGTGTCTTGCATTGATTAAAAAAAAGAAATGTGAAAAACTCAGTGAGAGCTGTGGTTTCTTAATAAGCGCATAATTTGCCATTGTGCCATTTGATGTAAAGTGTCTCTACTGTAGGCTATTTTTATTATATGTACAGCACTTTGGCTCGACCAAAAATTGTTTATAAATGTGCTATATAAATAAAACTTGATTTGATTTGTGTTGGATGTTGTGATAATGGAATCTTACCAATCATTTACTCTTGCACACGGTTCAATGACATGGAGTGCAGCTCTTACAGAAAGCACAAACACAAATGGCAGCTGCAGAGAAACCAGTGGCCTTGCACCAAAAGCTTGCTTTGATGTTGTTGTCAGGCTCTTTTCCACTGCTGGGAGGAACATGAGTCCATCTCAATTGTATTGTTAGCAAACAAAAGAGAAGTGGAAAAGATAAATCACTGGCTGTACTTCTTGCTGCTGTGTCGTGAGAGGTTCTTGATTGTTGCATAAAATCCTCATGCTCACAACAAAAACGTTTCCGGAGGTCTGTCCTCTGTCCTCTGTCCGCTGCCTGCTGACCCTCCATAATTAAACATTATAATATGAGATATGTTTCTCGTTTGATCACATATCCTGTTTTTACAGTTACAGTTTTCTCTCAGATTAATCTTGGTTATAACAAGTGGCTCACTACAGTACAGCAGGCCTGCGATTATTTTATTTTTCTTCTTAAAAATAACTTGAAATGCCAGGTGCAGATGCAAATAAGCTTCAATCATAAACCACACGCTGTAGATTTTGGTTTATATTTATCTATCATTTGAGATTTCCAAAATGACCCCATGTTTAAACTATATTAAATCACAACGTATTTACCCTCTTGTTTGTGAAAAGACAAATATGGGATACGTGTCTGTGTGTTTTGTTTGATGTTGTGAATATAAAACGTAACTCCTAGGAATTATGGTGCTGTGTGAACCGCTAAAGTCTTTGGGTTATTGGTGTCTAAATACATGCAGAAAGTGTTTTATTTTCTATAACATGATCTCACAGACCCTACAGTGCTGGTTTGGATCAGAAACAGAAAAACATTTTTAAATAACTGTGTAGTGTGGAAATGACATTATGTTCAAACAAGTAGCAACATCATTAATACGTTTGCATCATGTAAATAAGACGTCGACTCCACACAAGTGGAGCAAAATCTTTCTCCATTTTTAACTACATAATTATCACATAATTATTCATCACCATTTGTGTGTACAACTGTACTGGAAAAGAAAAAGAAAACAGACATATAACTAGGATATTTCTCCTAAATAATTACAACTTCATATTTTCCCTTCTCAAAAATATTTAAAACTCAACATCATTGAATTAAATTAAAAGATTAGAATAACACAACTGCAAGTATATCACTATAATGCTGAGAACAAAAACACTTGAAGGTCAAAAACAATTATGTTTCAACAACCGGACTGAATTTTAATTATTATACATTAAAATATAAGAATAGCAGGCTTTCCGCCTCAGGGTAACCTAGATTCCTTCTGCTTCACTGTCTCACTTTGACTTTGAGGTATTTAACATTCACCTCTCATTCCTGCTGTAAATGTGCCTTTTCCCGGAGTTAAGATGAATATGCAATGCAGTTGAAATTAAGACAAATCCATTTGAACAAGAAACAACACAATTAAAAAATCCCTTTCTTTTCTCCCAGACATATATGTAAAAATAATCCAGAATAATAAAGTTTAGAGAGAACATTTCCAACACGGTTCAATTAAAATCTCAAACATTTGTTACATCCTTGAAAAAAACTGAAACTTTTGTAACTGGGTCAACATTAGCAGGATATTTCATGTGCATCAGTTCATGGTTCCGTTTGAAAAATGAAAGAAAAACACTAACACACACACATAACAAAATACTTGTGTTCAGTTCGATTCCTCTTCAAAATCTGAGCAGGAAGGGCAGGAACACCAGGCCCAGCAGGCAGGTGTGTAGGTGGAGTCCTGCCGCACCCCCGCTGCCGTCCTGCACTGCTCTCGGTCCTGACAGGAGAGAGGGACACGAAGATACATTTCACTGTGGAATTGTCTTTTTCAATTGTGTCATCACTACTGGTCCTTTGTTTTGAAATGAACAGCCAATCAGCTGATGGCAATTACTGTGATGTATGCAAGGCTGTTTTGTTGTTGGTGAAAACAGAAACTAGCTTACAGTTATTACTGAATGATCATGTGTGTTAAAGAGGACATATTAGGCTCATGTCCTGGTTCATGTGGTGAGGGGGAGAGACACAGGGACTTTAGCCTTTGCAGACCATTAAAATGCACGCAAACCTATAGACACATACACCACATCATGCAGAATAGGGCCTCTTTCATGCTTTCTGGAACACATTTTTAAATATTGACTGACAACATACAGTATGTAAGTAAATCATGTTTTTGTTCCTAAAATATCTTAATATGCTCATTGCAATTAAAGCAACTTACAGTATGTTGTTGCTTTAAATACTGAGAAAGTCAATGGCGTCTTGACGGCTGATCTAACTTCAACATTTAAACCAAACTATCATTTGTATTTCCTAATCCAAACTACTTGAGGGGCTCTTGATGTCGACCACACTCTCTGGATCAAACGTCCAGACGTTTTAATGCCCTTATGCGGAACTGACAAAAAAAGGGCTTTTTCTTCAACTGAGCAAACTCGTGGAAACATGTATGTGTTCCCACAAAACATAATGAATCCAAATCATTACAAATGTTTGGATGAAGAGAGCAGCCGACTAACAAAACAGCAATTAAACTTTACATTTGTGTTCATTCTGTGTCCCTAACATATGTTATGATCTTGCAATACTTAGCACATGCTGCTAAATCTGCCTGTGTCTGATTGTAATTCAGATACAGAAGATATGAGTGAATCAATGTTAGTTTCTAGTCTGATTTATTCTTATTGGTTTCATTTATGCTAAAACAAGCATCCTGGAGTGAGTATTGTTTTCTCAAGGCTGTGAATGCTCATGTGTAATTCTTCAGATGATAGTCCCAGGTTACAGCAGGACACCAGAGGCAGAAACCACTATTTGTTGTAAAGTATAAATAAACAGCAGATGTGTAAAATAATAAGACAATATCCAGTGAGGCTTCCATTAGTGTAGCAGGGGGTGAGCTACGTTAGTGTTGCAGGAAGCATCTATTTCAACGTGACGATCACAATGACGTGGTCTACAGCATCAGATGCAGTTTGAAGGAATAATGTTCAACATTATCAGCTACTCTTTCGTAAAAGAGCTTTTCTATCTATTACAAGAACATTTTTAGTTCTGAGAAGTGCCCAACAAACAAAAGCATTTTGTTAAAATGATGTTACGACTTTCAGGTGTGCAATCGGGACACTTTTAGCTGATTTAATGCTAATGTTTCTTTGGTGTAAATGTTTGGTCTAAATGTAAGGCCTTACTTCAGTACAAAATAATAAATATTGCATACATAGTGTAAACTATGTGGAGTACATAGTGAGACATTCAACTTGTAAGGATATTGTTCAGCATGTTGCAACAATTGAGAATCGCTGCAGAAAGTGTTTTATGAACAAGGAGCCAGAAAAGTGATTCTGTGGAAAACATTTAGTTTCTCATACCTCCTAAAACTGTATCTGCTACGATACATCAGGCTACAACCTTGGTACATTAGAAAACATGGAGCAGACACTTGTCCTTAGGTTTGGTAAAAATGCAACCATATTCTTAGAGAAATACTTAAATGTCTGCACCTTAAGTATTCCAGTGTAACACTGTTTGCACAGCTAAGATACAACACAATGGTATGTTGCAAAAACTAAAACACTTAATACTTTGATCAGGCCATTTCCACTGATGAGGGAAGTTCCTTTGAAGTGAATGCATTGTATGAGGATTGAGGACACATTTGAACTACTTTGAAGTTCGTAACACAATGACTTCTCATTTCGCTTGGATTTCCATGAGTTCACAACAGCTTCCTTTGGGGCATCTATCCAATTACCCCGCGACAGTGGATTATCCCTAATCCTGAATATGGCTAATTAGAATAATGGCGTTTACTCGCACTCAAAATCAAAGCCATTAATACAATTATATTGTGGTAATGGAGTGGGTTTGCTTACAAGATGCTGCAACCACCAGTCACAGGCACTCATTAAAGGACAAGATGTGTGAGGGTTTATCTCTGCTCTTAAAACACACAGGCTCATACAGCAGTAATCTACTCTGTGATCTCTACTCTGAGAAACTGGAAACACTTCAGCTGCCAGTGAGGTAATTCAGCTCTCTCTTTAGCTCTCTCACTTTAGCGTAGGATGTACAGTTAATATGCAATAACTAGAGGTACAAGCAATCACACAAGCACAAATTATAATGATAAAAGATGACAGATACTTACATTGGGAAAAAGAGCATGCAAAAATCAAAATAAAGCCACGTCACAGTGATGCAGTTAGGGTTGCAAGAGAGAAGATACAAAAACATGGTTAGTGAAAGAAGCTGTCATGACTATTTTCACAAAGATTCTCATGACCAGTCTTCTTCAAAGCTGCTGCCATACAACAGCTTTAAGGTGTCAATTCAAGAAGAGAACGAAGCGATATCAAAGAAGGTAGAGTTTGGACAGGATCAAAGAGCCCAGCCGTGATTTGTCTCTTCTAGTCACACTGCTTAGAACTGCAGTGACACCGCAGCACACGTTCTACTTTGTGAAAATGGTTATTTGTCATGTGCCAGCATGCAGTTAATACTTTCCATCGACAGCAGTTGAAGTGCATGCTGGAGCAGAATACTAACCTTGCAATAGCGTTGAGCTAGTGGGTTCAATTACCACTACACCAGGGAAACAAATGGAACAGAGCAACATATTGGAAGCAGCACAGCAACACTTGCATTGTTACATACCAAGTGCTCAAACAGAGAACAGAGCCAACAGACATTCACCAGTTCAGGTGGTGTCAAAAGTCAAATGCTGGAACACTACAGTATTTTAATTGAGTTCACCCTCAATGGAATTAAAGTGATATTAAAACTATGAATTCATTTTCTCTTTCTTAAGTAAGAGCAATAAGTCAGTTTACGGGACTCTAATGCTCATTCTGAACAGGCTGAACATCACAGAAGCATAAACAAAACTAACTGTAGGTGTAATAATCAAATCACATGAAAAAAGATAGTGAGTTCTTATGTTTTAACTTTGTATATTAACTCAGCACAAGCTGTGTTTGCCTGAACATGAATGCACAACTATATCAAGATATTGAGTCATAAAAATAGATATTTCTATGTTTGAAAAACAGCTATAACTTTCACCAAATGGATAAAGTTTGAATAACACCGATAAAAGTTAGCGAAATTGAGAGTATGTTGCAGAATATTATTATAATTATCATTATCACTTGTATTGCAAAATACACTACAGCTGTTTAGTCATATTGACCTTTCTGTAGTAGCATCCTGGTTTAGATTGTTGTACTCACCATACATAAGGAAGCTTGTGTTTGAGCTCCCAAGTTTGTTGGTGGCGACACAAGTGTAGTTGCCGTAATCTGCATCAGACACGTTAAAAAAAGTCAGCTTGGACAACGATCCAGTGTTCAAGATCTCCATGCCGTCAATGCCAGTGTAGATCCTGAATGTGAAGAAGACGGGGACAAATGCAACATGTCAACTGTGTTTCTTTTGTTTTTTCAAAGTCTCTCCCAGATGACCTATGAAAGTGAGATATTGTCACATATTCAATGTATTATGTCAACAGATTTCACGCAACCATATTAGGTTAGTTGAAAGCAATAATAATATGTTTAAATAAAATGTATTAAGTTCAACTTAATATTATTGCTTTCAACTAACCTCATACAGTTATGTGAAATTTGTTAAGATAATACATTGAATTAAAATCAACGCTTCATTTTTCAGTGCATGATTCTTTGACTCTCTAAAATGTCGGAAATAGTTACCTTCTGTCCTCTTTGTACCACTCAAACTCTGGCTCGGGCACAGCGTCCGCCTCACACTCCAGAACCCCCCGCTGGCCCAGAGTCACCCCCACGTCTCTGCCCTCTGACACAGCTGGAACATCTACAAGCAACAACAACACCCCCCCCCTCACCTTATCACCTGAATCTCCACCATTGTGTTTTTTTAACCAATCATCTCAGCAGCAGCTCATTAGCATTTCAAAGCTACAGAAACAGAATCAGCACTTTTGGAACAGGGCTGAAACAGAGGGGATTATGGGATGCTGCAATGATCTGTTTGGTGTTTCAGCCAAACACTTCAGAGACATGTTCTGTACATATCTGAGACCTAAAATGTATTGTTGAAATAGTTAAATAGGTGACTTTTAAGTTTAAGTAAATGTCCAAAACTAAAACTTTGCTTATTATCAGGGTAAGTACATTTTTTTTAATGTTTCATTAACATCTTGATTTTTGTATTGTTATGTATTACTCTGAAATGGTAGATACTGGTATGTCCAAACAGCCTCCTGAAATCACCTTTTATTTGTTTCAGTCCAACATCTCAGTTGATGATAGAGAACAGAATGTGTGAAGCTGGGAATTTTAAATATGTGTCACTTGTTCTTGACAAATAGTTACAATTATTATATGATAATGAAATGTGTTGTCATTTTTTCCATCATCTCATGACTCAATGGTAATCGACTTATCATTTCAGCACAGTTCATTGAAAGAGAACATGTTACATTTTCTTCGGTGAAATCACTGACTTACAGTTGACAGTTATGTCCACAGTCTGGACGTCCGTGTCGATATCGTTGACGGCTGTGCATTCATACGTCCCCGCCCTCTGTCTGGAGATGGATGGGATTTCCAGGTAATCATCGTCTGATCCCAGGTCCCCTACAGAAGGTCACACACAAAGCGAAAGAACGTTAGAAATTCAATGTAAATGTGACAAGTCAACAGCTCCATCGTCCTGACTCAAGAAGGTAAATTGCCACACTGGTGCAGGAGAATGGTGAAGATAACTATTACAACTCTAAGTCATCTACGTATTTATTATATTATATTTAGATGTATTATACAGTATTACTTCGATCTCTTGGATAGTAAGCCAACATAGAGCTTTTGGAATATTTCCACATGTTAAACAGTTGAAATGTTATGATTCAACAATTCAACAATTGTATTCTTGTGTTCTGTGAACATTTAATATACTATCTTTTCAGTATCCGTAACAATTCTTGAACATACCTACATACCTACTTTCTCAGAGTATATTAGTTGAACTTTAACCAATCAAAACCAATCTAATCTAAACCAATCTATGCTACTGTATATAGCATAGGTTGAGTGATTAGTTGTCAAAATATTGGTTTAACATCCAAAATATTGTGTCAATTATAATGTGATGCAGTGCATTAAGAAATGTTCTGGAAAGAAGAGAATCTATGTTGGTGTAAAAACCCAGATGTTGAGGAGCAGGAGCAGCGACAGGTTAATTCTCTCACCACCTGATCCACACTCACACAGCTACATGTATGTTAAAACGTACACGAGTAATGACACGACATGTGCCCCATTCTCTCTCTGATATTGTTTCTTTCAACCCCAGTTCTTGAGCTGACTGACATTTTTCTGAGGATCTTACAACACTTGGTGATTAGTGCTTTGTTTAACCGCTGCTCATTATCAATTGTCTGTCAGAACATTCATATTCTGCTCCTCTTTGGATTCTCATACGCCTGCGAGCGCAGCAGAGCGGCTACAAAGATGTGTCAATGTGAACGGAGGAGAAAGCCAGCCCTGCTTCTATTTCCTGTTTCAATTTGACACGCTTGACAGAGGCACTTAATACAGCACTCAACGTAAAGAACAAAAGGCATAATTGACTTCAATCCTCCTCCCAAGATTTCCGTAGGTGACACTAATACATTTCACACGGTTTCACTTTGCTGGGTTTAGGCACTCTGCTGAATTTCACCTGGGAAGGTTGTTATGAGAGAAGTTCTCACTGACTCAATGATCAGCTGACGAGGAGTATCAGGAGGACTCATGTAGGTTTGAAGGTTCCACTCTGTTACTTTTTCTGCTTGGCTTTCTCTCTAAAGAGGGAACTACATTTCGCCAATAGAGACCACAGTGTCACTTTAATCCACCCTTCCTTCCTCTGAGGAGAGGTAATAAGTCAAGCTGCCGGCTGCAGAACATTCTCCACGTCCTCACATCAGGCAGCCGTTTTACAGCAGAGAACTTCACATCAGCATCATGAGCAGCTATCCTTTACACTGGCACTTTTCAATAATCAATCTTTCTCTATGTGTCCAAAGACACTTGACAATACCAGCTGTAACAGAGCTATGCAATTCCTCTCACAATCCTACTTTGAATGTTGTCTAATAATAGCGAACGCTTTAAGCTTTGTTTTATACCATAGCGGGGTTTCCTCCAGTTAATTGCAATACAAGCACCCTATACCTCACAGGAAAGATAGTGCATCTGCTAACAAAATAATGTATTTCTCCTTTATCAATTTGATGTACAGCCTATAGGAAAGCAGCTACATTAGATAGCAAAGGTAAAAACTTTCATATAATACGATGTTTTGTTCACACTTATGTTGTTAAAGACCCAAACTAAACTGCATCCATCTAATGCAGGGGTGGGGAACCTCCGGCCTCCGGGCCGTATACGGCCCGCGAGACCATTTGGTACGGCCCTCGAGGTAATTTATAAACACACACAAAAAAGAAAAAAATTTAAGAAATCTAGACCGCGAAAAAAATTAAACAAGCAAGTGCCTGTTTTTCCTGGCCAAGGTCAGGGCCCTTGAACACAACACGAGCCTAACGTGTCATCACGTGGTATATGTCTCGTCTGACAGGGGTGCAGTTCTGACGGAGAGCACCAGAACACGGCTCCAACACTTCACAAATTGCAGTAGGCCTACCCATAAGGAGCCGTACACATGCCGCAGTTTTTGCGTGGCTCGGTGGCTGTGTCTTTAGTTGATAGCCCAGAGGCGATCTGTTCATCTGTCATACTGATCATACAGTCAATAACTTTCTTGTTATTAGCATCTGGTTAGCTAGCTATGCTAACGAATATAAGAAGCTTTTTCTCCAACCAGTGAGGTAAAGGCACATCTTTATATGGTCATTATAGTTATAACAAAATAAGAGAATAAAGTAAACAGGTATAAAATACTATATGAAAGTAAAAAAACTTGTTATTAATAAAGAAGAATACAGTTTGAAAGGAGAGTGATTTGT